GTGTTTTTATCAGCTTTGCAGACTAGTCCGCTTAAAACCGATCCTGAAACGAGTACACCTGGAATCCATAACCCATGCTTTTATCATCTCTTGACTGGATTATGCAAATTCTATTTTAATTGGTTTACCTGCCTCCGCTCTTAACTGGCTTCAAGTCGTACAGAACGCAGCAGCCAGGTTTTTAACAAACACTCCTAGGAGAGAACATATCACACCTGTACTGGCGCGGCTCCACTGGCTACCCGTAAACTTTAGGGTCAAGTTTAAAATCCTGACTTTTGTTTTTAAGGCCCTGAACGGTCTGGCACCGGATTACCTGTCGGATCTTGTCACTAGATATGTGCCAAACCGGGCGTTGAGGTCTGCTGATTGCCTGCTGCTTCGTGTTCCATTAATGAAATACAAAACGCGGGGGCAGCGTGCTTTTGTCTACGCTGCTCCGACACTATGGAATGCACTTCCTCTTTCGGTGAGGCTGGCACCATCCCTCCTCCGGTTCAAATCGCTGCTGAAGGCTCACTTTTACGACCAGGCATTTTTAAATCCCTGACTTTTATTATTTTATTATGTGTCTTTTTATTGACTGCAATTATCTGCCTTGTTGTGCATTTTATTGTTGACCGTGTATTGTTTTATATTGTGTTTTTACTTTTTATTCTGTACAGCACTTTGGTCGGCTGCCATGCCGTTTTTAAATGTGCTTTATAAATAAAGATGGTATGGTATATATATGTATATATACACACACACACATACACACATATTCATACACATACCAGACTACTAAGCACAGCTAGTGCAGCATCACCGTGTTGCTACAGTAAAACTGATGAACGTCAACGTGCCTACATGCTACAGTCCTTAAGCGTCTCTCGCTGCTCACACTCTAATGAACTTTCGCTGTGAGGGAGAGGTTAGTGTTTGCTTATCAAAATGGTCAGAAACTCCCTTGCTAAAGTTATTTGAACAGAAGCCAAAGCTGAAAACAAACCGTTAAGCTCCAGCGTGGTTAAAGAACACTTTGATGATATTTAGTGTTTGTTTATCCGCCTGCTGCTCAGCTGGTTCGGTGACAGAACTACGAAGTTTTTTCCCCTCTCTTTAGTTGACCTTTTTACTACTTTTTACAACTTATGAAAGTAACTACATAAATCAGATTTTAGATTAAAACACATCTGAAGACAGACTGAATGCATAGGATGAAAAAATGTATCAAATCTCTAAAATATTATTTTGATCAAGTTTATTCTTGAAATGAATTAAGTTTCAACCCTGACTGAACGTTTGGACACAGTTAAAACCGCATTTTCCTCTTTAAGACACAACTTGAAGACAGATTTATGCAGTAGTGGATAAATAAGGTCAATAGAAACTGTAATTTATTGTAATATGTAGCTACTCTTCTTTATTTGTAATGAGAACTTTGAAAGCCATGGACATAGATGCCCATTTCATCAAAAGTTTGACACAAACAAAAGAAACTCCAGCCTTCATGTTTAATCTCCATAACTCACCTGGACAAAAATGTGCAACAAAGGAACTCTACAGGGAGTTTAAAGAGCAAGTCACCCCCTGCCAGAGTATTACTCCACTCCTACTTCCTGTTTGAAAAATGCAACAAATGCTGTTGCCTAGCAGACCGAGAGGGCGGAGCCGCTAACAAATACACACACACACACACACACACACACACACACACACACACACACACACACACACACACACACACAGGCTCACAACAACATTGTGACATCATATGGTACCAGCTAACGTTCTAGGGTACCTCTTAGCAAATAGCGATGGCAGATTTAAATTCAAATGCAGTGCAGAGTTTTTACCTGACAACGGCACAACACTGACAGTTTTAGGCAGAACATTAAAATTTTAACCAAAATGCACTAAAATGCAAAACTATTGACGACACGTGTCTGCAGCACGATTAAACACACATTCATATAGTTTATCAGAAAAAAAAGTTGATTTATGAGATGACTTGCTCTTTAAGCCCCGCCCATATACATCTGGACTACGGGTCCCCTACTGCAAATAAAATGAATGGGAGTCTATGTACCGATTTCTGATTCAGTCTGATATGTGCCATGGACTTCACATACCATGTCCGTGAATTTTAAAGACACGTTTTGATGCCCAGAAAGTTACTTTAGGTTTTGTGTGAAAAGACGTACGGGACTACAAATGCTCGTCTCACTAAATTGACGCCAAACAAGACAAGGAAAAGGAGAATGAGGAAAATGTCCGAGTTGAGCGAGCTTCACATCCTTCTCCCAGGACAACAGAAAGAACATTTAACATGGAAAAATCACCATAAATCTGACCATGTGGAAAGTAGCAGCTACGCCAAGGCAGAAGAGATTGTGTGGTCGCGTCATATATGTAACTTGTGATTTGTAGTCTTTTTAATTATGAATTTTTAAAAGTCAAAAAATTAATTATCAGATGTAGTTGAAACAAAACGGACTAGAAAATAACTTTTATAGGCTTGTTTAGGGGACCCGAAGCCAACTGGAAAGGGATACTTGATTGGGTCGGGCCGCCCCCCCCCCCCCCCGCGTGGCCAGGTTGTGTTCACACCACAGACATGTATGTTTTCTATAGGATGCTGGTTGTTGCAACTGCAGGTTGCACAAAAAACGGGCGTAGTTGCTCACACTGCTTTGACTCCTGGGGGGTTTAGAGAGTGAAGCACCCACCCAATATGGCGGCAACGCTGTTACACTCTCCAGCACCCAGTGGGCATCTACGTATTCATGTCTATGGTTCACACAGACTTCTTAGGAACACAGATGTCTCCGAGCATGTGAGCAGGGCGAAACACATGCTGTAAGTCTGCGATTCCCTCCTTGTTAGTAAACAAAAACAACCATGGGCGGTGTTGATTTGGATACTCTGATATGAAGCACAGCTGTCTCACCAAGTAGTGGTGCTGCACAGCAGTCCGTCCTCGCGCTGCCACGGCGGACCGAGCTGCTGTCAGAGAAGACGTTCACCCCACCGCATCCAGACTGATTATGATTCACACAGGATGCAACCGTTGGCTGCCTCTACCAATCATAGACTCCTTCTAGTAGGCATGATCTTCATCCAGCCAATCGGTTCACGGCGGACGTGTTGGGTCGGCTGAGCGCAAAGCGGACCGCTTTGGAGCAGGTCCATAAAAACCGGTGTGCTAAGCAGGAAAGACGCACAGATTACCCAGATATGAATGCGCCAATAGGCTCCTTATTGTGACAGCAGAACCTCTTCCCATCCCCCTCCAGCGTAGCTGCCATTGACCACATGACCAGATTTATAGCGATTTTCTCCACGTTTAATGCTACTTTCGTCACAGAAGAAGGAAGCAAAGCTCGCTAAACTCACAGCCATTTTTCTTCTCCTTGATTGGTTTGATGACGTCAGTTTGGTGTGACAAGCCGTTGTGATTCTCCTCGTCGTTTCACACAAAACCTAAGATGAAAGTGAGTGCTTTCTTGGCATCATAATGTGTAACTAAAATTCATGGAGATCATTTGTGAAATCCATGGCGCGTATCAAACGGGATCAGAAAACAACTCGGCCCATACAATACCATTCATTTTTATAGCAAAAGATGGGTGTGGCTTAGGCTCCCTATAACCCTGGACAGGGGATACTAAAAACTACAGAACCACTGGGCGCTGACGCATGAAGCTATGGAGGACTGATGCTGCCAAAATGAACACTGAAAAAAGGTTTAAATAAATAAACAAATAAGGATATGAATAAATGTGGAAATACAGTAATCCCTCGCTACTTCGCGGTTCGTTCATCGCGGATTCTTTCTTTGGAGCATTTTTCAGGGGGAATTCACAGATTTGCGGTATTTGTCACTGATTCGCGGTATTTTTCTATGCGAAATATCAAGAAATTCTTGGTTTTTTTTTCATCAATTTCATCATAAAATGCACTTTTTGTAATAAAACTAAAAAACCAAGTAAAAAAAATTTCTTGAGTTTTACCCACAAAAACAGAATGTGATCATATGATAATTCAATAGGGAGCGTGGTTTCACGGACGCGGAAGTGATAGCGTCGGTGAAACGCCAGCTGATTTAGGAAACCCCCGAGCGTTCGAGCGTCAACGAAGTGACACGGAAATGCCGGGCTTTCCAGAAGTAAGTAAGATAACTTACTATGAGCTGATAGTTCGTTGGATTGATCGGTAGGTTGGAAACTCTGATCATGAATCTGAAGAAACGATTACTGAGTGGTGAGCTGGAAAGGCGACTTCCGTTTATAGCCGCGGTTTGTGACGTAGGTGCGACGTGGAGGGAATCCCCGCGAGGGGCATGCTGGGAGTCCCTACTTCGCGGATTTTCACCTATCGCGGCCAGGTCTGGAACGCATCTACCGCGATAAACGAGGGATTACTGTAACTGCAAATTACTTTTTTTTTTTCAAATGTATATGTTTATTGTGAAATTAATGTCTTCATATTTAATAATTGATTTTCTTATATATTTTTAAATTTATTTAATATTTTTTTACCTCAAATTTTTTTTTATTGCATCATTTATTTCCCTGATTTATTCTCAATTTTGGCAGGATTTGCTCTCCATTTATTTGGGCTCTAGGCACATGGTCCAGTCTAAAAAAATCTGTTGCCTCCTGCTCTTTACCGATGACGAGGAAATCGGCAAAAGCCACCGCCAGCAGTCCGCCAATCAGAATGGCTGAAGGAAAGACAAGAGAGCCTGTCAGTTCAGTCCAGATGGCCACTCCCTCGCTCTCAGGAGGAAAGATGGTGAAGTTGAAAAGAAGTTGGATTAGCCAAGAGGGGAAAAGGTGGTGGTCAATTGGGGCTAAGCAGCATGGTGATCTATCCTAACCCCCGGAAAGCAGGAAAAGACTTCAGGAGGCAACAAGGGAGAAGTTGTGTTGGTGTAACCCGGGAGGTTAGACACCGGGTCAGACATATCCTCACCTATTAACACCTCTTTTCTCTCCAGGATGTTTTTCTGAGGCAGCTGGGCAGCAGAACTACCTCCATCCACCGTGTTGCCAATCAGATCCGGATCCACAGGGATCACGCCTCGGCCCAGGCCGTTACGCCGATCTTCGGGAATCTCGAAGTCTCCGCTGGGTCCTGCAGGGCCCACCTCGTTGGTACTCTCCTGAGACAGCACAAGATAAAAATAAAGGAAAAAGCAGTAAGACTACCAGGAAATTAAAGTCTGATGCCATTTAATTTGTTCCATACGAGTCCTTGCACAGAAGCTTAACCCAAAGAATTTTCCGTGGCACGTTTGGCTCTTTGAACAATGAGCCTCTGTGAGTTGGTGGAAAAGTAACCCAACGTCAAACAAACAAAGACTCTTTATAGAGGCTGGCGTCTTAATTACAACGAGGAGAACAAGTGTTAAAGAGAGACGCGAGTGTTGTCTGCAAACAAATCAAACACGAAAGCTTCTTCGAACCTCAATGGGAAAACAATTTGAGAAGAGATATTCTTTTCAGTTTAGATGGGATTAAAAGGTCAAAATTGAGATTATTCTGTCTATCGTGGTTAGAACAAATGGAGTGATCACAAGAGCAGATGTTGGCTTCATGATCAGAGCCAGATTCAGGTCATCCATCTTCAGACGCTCAGTCCTTCGTTATCGTCCAGGATAGATTCATGAGAGCTGCGCGAGGAAAAAGCAGCCTATTAATGTTTAACGTTTCCGATCATCTTCTCTCACTTTCTCCCTTTTTTATTTTCAAAATAAACTATTTTACTACTAAGAAAATGAATTGGGGGGAAAAAAGCTAATTTTATTTTTTCCCCATCTTTCTACTAGAAAACAACAAAAGAAAAGGTAAACATTTAACTATTTTTTGTTGTTCCCATTTTATATTTTTCAACTAAAAACAGAAAAATGGCTTTATTCTTTATTCTTATTTCTTTTCTCCTCTTGCCTTGCTTCACCAGATATTTGAGCAAAACTAAAAGATGCTGTGGCTTCTTAGGGATACAAGAAATAACTTCTGGGTCGCTCCTGTTACTGGTTCTTTAACAGTGCTGTTGGCTCAAATTATGAATGCTGACACTGCATTGCCGACTCGACACAGACTCGGCAACCCCGCGGGCTCAGATTGTAAACATGGACTACTTCCCTCTTTGGTCGTTTTGAAAGATGAAGAAAAAAACAGTCAACTGACAATAAATCTGTTTAAATGTAACATTTCTTTCAATGTAACGGTTCGACTGCTTTGTGATCATTTCACTGTAAAATTGTTACATATTGCACCTTTAAGATACGTTTGAATGACTAAAACCAGATGATTTATGTATTTAGCTTGCCTTTTCATTCCAGGTGAGCAGACTTTACCTTTACCTTTAGTATTTGTGCTTTCTTTTTACTCTTATTGTTGGTGTTGTGTCTCTTCCTTGGGTTTTGTTTGACCCGCGTAAAGCACTTTGGTCACTTTGAGTGTGTAAAGTGCTTAATAAATAAAGGTTGATTGATTAATAATAAAAGTAGCAGAACCTCGTCAGTCTTTTCCACCCGCTCAGATTGTTCTGGATGTTTTTAATCATCGTTACCAACAGTAACACCGAGAGTGGAGCTTGATCGACGCACAAATCACTACATTTCCACCCCGAGAACATTTCTATCCATGTTTGGTCAAATTTAGGCGCCGGCGACCAAGATTACCTAATGGTTTGGCTCGTGCAAAAAGTAAAGAAGTAAAAGATGGAGGCAAGAAATGAGTACAACTAGAAAGTTTTAGAGAAGCTAACTAGCTAATGGACTGATGACGGTACTGCTGGAGAAAATTTATTTTGGTGATCTGGATTCTGGAGATGAGTAATCCACTTTAGATTAGGTTTGTGGAGTCTGACGCAATGTGCGTGTGTGTGTGTGTGTGTGTGTGTGTGTGTGTGTGTGTGTGTGTGTGTGTGTGTGTGCGCGCGTGTGTGTGCCTTTGTGTGCGTGCGTGTGTGTGCGTGTGTGTGTGTGTGTGTGTGTGTGTGTGTGTGTGTGTGTGTGTGTGTGTGCGTGTGTGTGCCTGTGTGTGTGTGTGTGTGTGCCTGTATGTGTGTGCGTGTGTGTGTGCCTGTGTGTGTGACTGTGTGTGTGTGTGTGTGTGTGTGCCTGTATGTGTGTGCGTGTGTGTGTGTGTGTGTGTGTGTGCATGTGTGTGTGTGTGCGTGTGCCTTTGTGCGTGTGCCTGTGTGTGTGCGTGTGCCTTTGTGCGTGTGTGTGCCTGTGTGCGTGTGTGTGCCTGTGTGCGCATGTGTGTGTGTGTGTGTGTGTGTGTGTGTGTGTGTGTGTGTGTGTGTGTGTGTGTGTGTGTGTGTGTGTGTGTGTGTGTGTACATACACACTTCAATACATCAGTGGCAGCAATTAGAGATAGTGAGGTTGTAAAGTGAAGCCAAAAAACTCTGAGCTTCAGCTCAAACGGGTGGGATTATGAAGATGAATGGGAATGATAGGTTTTTGTAGCGATGCCGCTGTTTAACATATGTTAACTACGGCTATGGAACAGCTTTGGGTTTGGGTAAATATGCTAATTAGCTACCAGTTTGCATCAGGACTGATTTACTAATCTGAGAGTATTAGTTTGTAGAGTATGGTTTTTTTTTTGGTATGACGTCCTCTCGGACTGCAACAGACCTGCGTCGTTGTGGGCCGCTGTGGGCGGGTCGTTCTCTCCGTTGGCGCTGCCCGTGTAGCAGTCGTCATGGGAACCCTGGGTCTGAAGGGGAATCTGGTTTTGGCTGTGGTGGAGGGTGAAGGTGTTGTGGGTTCAGGCGTGCTCTCTGTGGCGAGCGCGTCATAATCCGAGGTGGTAAATTCCCATTCGTAAGGCGAGGTGGGCTCCGGAGACAGGTACACGTCCCCCTCGTCCTCCTCTGTGATGCTGAGGTCATCAGGACCAGCGGAGGGTTCTCGACTCTCTGTGGCGCTGGTTGTTGGGTCGCTGGTTACCACGGGAACGGCGGTGGTCTGAGCCGCCCGGATTTTCTCCAACTCTCTCTGCCTCTCCCGCTCCTTCTCTCGTTCCCTCTCCCGCTCCCTTTCACGTTCCCGCTCCCTTTCCCTCTCCCGCTCCCTCTCTAGTTCTCGGACCCTCTCCCGCTCCCTCTCTCTTTCTCGCTCTCTTTCCATTTGTCTCTCTCTTTCCAGCTCGCTCTCTCGGTCCCTCTCCTTCTCCGTCTCCTGCTCATAGAAAACGCCGCTCTCCCCGTCGGCCTCAGTGGGCAGCGGGGTGGCCACGGTGGCGTCTTCTGGACTGGGGCTGGGCTCGGCTGCAGGTGAGGCAGAGGGGGCGGGGCTTGTTGCCTGGGTGGTTGAGAAGAGGAGGGGCTCTTCTGTGGTGAAAGACACTGATGTTGGCCTCATAGTGATATCAGGAACTGAAGGGGGTCAGAAAAAAAAAAGAGTTAAGGCAGTTTTCAGATGGAGTAATTTAATTTCAGAAAGGAGTAACCATCAAGTTGAGAGAAAATGGCACCAAATCAATGACTCAATGAAATAAGAGAAAATTACTTCCTTCGTTTCATTAAATTAAAGGATCACAAAATGGAACAACACAGAATTGCTGAGATGACAGCGGCTTTTTGTCTTTTGGCCTTTCTGTTGACACCAAGCCAAAATGGTCTAGAGGCAAAAACGGATGGTCGAAACGGATCTCCACAGTGGATAAAACAAAAATGTGTTCAGGGAGACGCCGAGCTTCAGAAAATCCAGTTTGGAGAACGAGTAATTGTCAGATAATCCTGCAGTTCCTGTCAGGACCGGCAACACCGGCATGATTCAGCTGAATCACCAGTAATCTAATTTCTAGTCGGGATGCTTTGTCTCGTGTTTGGCCAAAGTGAGCTAATACTTTGTGATTTAATTAGCATGTCCAGAAACCAACAAATAACTGGTGGAAACATCCAGTCTTTCCTGTAGTGGTACGAATCTCATAATTCCCAGTTTGATCACAAATTCCTGCCAGTAGTGAAAAACATAGTCGGAGTTAAACAAAGCAACCGCCTCAGCTAAAAGTCGACTTTGTTTATAGTGTTTTACTACAAAACTGCTGTTAATTATGAATGATTATGAATTGTTGTAATAATTTTAAAACAATAATCTAATGTAGTCATTTGATTGAGAAAGGCTAATTAAAATGTAGTATAATCCCTGCAGCTAGTAGTCAATGCAGCTAGGTTCAGATTCAGGTTGCTAACAGTTCCTGTGGCTAGGAGTTGCTGAAGCTGGTGGTTCAGGTTAAAAAGCAAGTCAACCCAAAATCTGCTCTTTTACGCCAATAGCTGCATTAATTAGTCTAACAGTGCTGTAGACGTGTGTAGTCATTATTCTGGTATTTTAGAAGGGCTGCCATCTTTTGCACGGAATCTGGCGCCCTTGAGCCTGCAAGGCTCCAACGAAAACTCCCCCCTCAGAAGATGTGTGGAATGAGCCGTCGCTATGGGGCATGAAAGCTCTCTTTTCCTCCGGTTAAGGTAGTGGAGAAATCCTCTATTTCAGACTAGAAAAACATGCTGTTTCTCCATCTGAGTGGGTTGGGCGTGTGTGTGTGGGTGTGTGTGTGTGTGTGTGTGTGTGTGTGTGTTAGCGGCTCGATTCTACGCCGATAATCTTCAAGTGCCTCCTTCTCTGTCCACCAGTGTGATGATGCAGAGCGTGGTTGAGAGCTAGCTGAGGGAAATAATGAGCTTCCATGCTCGAGTCAGCACAAACTCTAAAAGCCTGGGGCACACCGGAGGCGGACGCGCTGCGTCTTGCCCGCACCGTCATTTTAAATAGAAGCCATTGTGGTTAATACGAGTGGTCACATGGGGAGCACCCTGCCAGGCACCGAAGATAGACGCCAGTTCTACCTCAAGCGCCGCGGCTGTTTACGACGTTGTGGAGTACTTTACAACAAACATTACGACGCAGACCGGCTTTACGGCGCAGACCCAGCCGCAGTTTTGATAACTTTCAAGTACTACTGATCTTAAAATATGTGAATAAATAGCGTACTTACCCATTTTAAATTAATTAGAGTCTCACAAAACATAGCGGCAAGTTTGATCACATATAAACAATAGAGTCACTTCCTGCTTTCTGTTCTCAAGTCCCGCGTAAGGAGAGAGTGGACGAATCAGCACGGACTGGGATAGATTAATGTCCATTATTGGGATTTTGAGAGGTTGAGGACCAACAAACTGTAAGACAGAGAGGAAATTATCTCTGTCTGGCCCCAAAACAATTTCTAATCGGAATCTGGCGCCCTTGAGCCTGCAAGGCTCCAACGAAAACTCCCCACTCAGAAGATATGTGGAATGTGCCGTCGCTATGGCAATTCAACTCTGTCTCCTTTCCCAGCCTGGGCGGGACTGCGGGAAGGCCGCCGAAGCGTCCAGGGTCACTGCAACCCTCCAACCCTCAATGGCCCCCACATCCACTCTGAGGTGACATGAGCTGCTTCATCGTGGTTGCAGGAACTGAAGTAGGGATAGTCCCAACCCACCACCCCACCTAGTGGACACATGTTGTGTGGTCTGAAGTCTGTTGCATATCTGTTTGAGATGTTTTTTTTTTTGCATAGCAAAGCTGCCCTCCTGGTGGTGGGTAACTCTGAAGTGCCGTTTTTCCCTCCACCTGAACCAATCCTCATGTAACCCTCTTATCTCTATTAAGGTAGCACGACTCATGGTTGCAAATGACCACAGTCACCAAATCTTGTCATGTGTCTAGCCCATGTATGTCTGATCTCTGAATTGTGTGTACTGAAACTCTAATTTCCCTCTGGGATTAATAAAGTATCTTTGATTGATTGATTGTTAACGGCTCCGCCCTCTCGATCTGCTAGGCAACAGCATTTGTTGCATTTTTCAAACAGGAAGTGGGAGTGGAGTGAGACTCTGGTAGGGGGTGACTTGCTCTTTAATAAAAGTCCCTGCAGCTAGATTCTGTTGGCTTTTCTTGTTGCTATAGTAACCGTTTATGAGAACTGTCTTTTGCTTTCGACTCTGTAATTACTCACTTTAAATGTCAGCTTACCAGAGGACAAACGCACATTGTTGCGTTAGTTTTGCCACAGTGCTTAGAACCAAACGCAGACAGCCCAGCAACCATAACTGCAAATAAATTGTGATTTCTATCTCGTTCTGCTGCCTGACAACTCAACGGAACGAAATGTTAATCGGAGTTTGTTCTAAGTTCAGCAACGTTCCAACATAAACTAAAATGTCAGAACAAAATAACCAGAGAGCTGCCAGCTTGCTCTAACGAGGCATCCCTGTGGTTATTTTAGCCTCGTTCGGGTCTTTTAGCGTGGATGTAGATGACCCACGATGCACGTTTCTACTGCACTTAAAGTGCATTTTTGGAGAAGAAGGGAGATGATCCGTGCTGACTTCATAATAACATTACGCCGCCTTTTATTCTGTTAGAGCAGAGCGTACTTGGGCTGAAAGAGAAGCTAATTCAATTTGCTGATACAAAGACATGAAGGCTGTCAGAGGAGTTGGAGATGATATAAGAATATGGGCTCCAGCAACGTTGCAGCCTGTGCGCTCAGCCGCTACCGAAGCAGCAGCAGCACACATTAAACACACTTCTGTCTGCTGAAAACCAGCCCTTTCTTTGCAAATGTTCGACTCTATATCACAGCGTCAGATAAAGCTGTTTGCCTGACTGCTGCTTCAGCCACAGGGGGGCCTCTGCTGCGCTCTCCTGCTCTGAATCCCAAATCATTTTGTGGCGCAGCGGCTGAGCGGAGGGCAGACCTCCATGAGTCAAGCTTGATGAGGAAGAGCGGCGGACAAGCTTCAAGTGCCAGATCAGAAAATCAAACTGAATTACACCAATGTGATTTGTGTTAAGCAGGTAATTCCTGGACACGCAAACTAGCGAGGAGGACGAAGGCTCGCAGATCGCTGCAGCCAACTGCTCGTCTAATCTGTGAGGACTGTAATCTGATTAGAGCAAAGCTGATCTTGAGGAACGGAGCCTGGGTCGGTGTTTGTTTGCACGAGAGTGCCTGAGGTGTTTTCAGTAAATCCAACTCTGCTAACGAGGCGATGATGGATGATGGCATTCTGGTGTGTTTGCGCAAGTCTGACGGGTCATGGGGGTGGGGTGGGGGGGGGGGGGGGGTCAGCAGATTGAAACCGAGCAGCTGTCAGGCTTGAAAGCATCAGGGCACGCGTGAGTAACCTCACACACACACACAATATAAACACACACACTTACATCCAGAGCCGCCGGAGCCCGAGTAGAGGTCCTCATCATCGTAATAGTCGTCCTTCCCAGAGCCTTCGTCGTCAATGGGCGGGGACCACGTCTGTCCCTGTTGGTGAGACAGAGGGAGGTGCAAATGATCAGGATTAGAGTTCTCCATCACAAGAGGCTGAGCTGTTCATGATTTTTATTCAACTGGAGGAAACCACTTTGGGAGATCACACACACACACACACACAGCTGTCTGAGAGGAGGCGCAGGCTGCATCACGCTGGACGGGCTAACATCTGTCAGTCTGCAACTCTCTGGAGGAGCATAGTTAATGAGTTGATCTAAAGCCGGGACTCTGGCAGAGAAACATCAAAGCTTTAACTAAAGATGTGTGTGTGTGTGTGAGGGGGGGGGGGGGGGGGGGGGGGTCTCTCTGAGTCAAACGGAAGTGATGCACAGACTGCCAAACACCCAAGGACAGGGCTGCAATTAACTCCTGAACTCCGCTGCTCTTTCATTAAAGATTAATAAAAGATAACCATTGATTCATATGTGAAAGGCGCTAAAAGGAGTCAGATTTGATGTTTTTGTAGCTCAGAAGGGTTCGGGTTTGCGGGACTTTCCAAGTTAAAGGCTGAGATTACAAACAGATGCTGCAAAAACACTGAATTTCTATGAATGTTGGTAAATCTAGAGTTAAAGGAATGCTTTTGGGCCCATTTTAAGGTTATGTATGAAACTAGCTTGTTCCTGCATGTAGCTTCGTGCCATCGGTGAGCTAACGTGTGCCGATGCCCCATTGAACATCTTAGGTATGTTCGTGCTGCGTTTCTCGAATTCCATCCTTTGGTTCTTTTTGGTAATAAAGATCGCCGAGATAAACGGAGGCCAGAAGTGACGCCACCAACATCGGCGTTGCTTTGAGGAAGGCAACAGAGTTAGCCGAAACTTGTTAGCAAAAAAGCTACAAAAATTCTTTATTACACTGTACCAAAAAGAACCAAATGACGGAGTGTGGTGATGCCGTCTGAAAACCGAATCAAGTTCCCAAATTTTGTAAGAGTTGTAAAACTCGACATCACTTAGCGTAACACTGGCACTCACATGGAATTTTATGGTTATCTGAGCATGAAATATTTTTATATTTCTGCCAAAACATTTGTTTAATGAAATGGTGATGTTTGCGTAAAGATGTATAGTAATGCATGACCCTTGGGCGTGCATCGACTAGCCATTAGCATGTCAAAAGCTATTTCTCCAAACTGAGGCCATTCAGTAAGCTATAAAAGTGAATCATTTACAACTTTTAAACAGAAACTTGTGTTTTTACCTTTATTAAAGTAAAATTATTGAAGTGGTTGAATTCAGATTTTATATTTAGCTAATTTTTTCGGTTATTCTGATTTTTACAGAAGGGATCTCTTAATAATAATTAGTTTTTCACAATAAAAACACAGCTTAGGCTTACTGATATATTTTACATGTATTCCCAGTCAAAGCCTTCATTTAAAGGTTTAAATAAAGCAGATTTGAACATTCTTAATTTTGGGGGGAATTTGAAAACCTGAATTTGGTAAATAAGAATTTATCAGTTCACAAAATGTATATTTAGCTCATTAAAAAGCAGACTTTTACCTCTCTGTGCGAAACAGGATCGGGTTTGGAAGCAGATTTCCTTCAGATAAATCCTTATAAAAACAGGGATGTTAGCGTGTCCGGCACATTTCCAGCTAAACAGGTAATCAATCAGTTAATCAACAGCTAATTCAACAAGATGAGAGTTTTCAGCTCCGAGATGCTTCCCACAGAGTCGTGTTTGTTCAGGAATCAAAGTCTTTGAGCAGAGAAAACCTTCCTCTGATGAGGTGAAAAGTTAATTAAGGAGATTTTGGACAGCAAATCCTGACGGGAGAGTGAATATCTGCAGCGAAATTCCAGGCAACTCCCCCTGAAACTCGATGAGATCGACTGAGATGATTAACCGCAACAATAAATCACAAAGTGGCGGAAAATCACAATTTTCCGGAGAACCTGAAGATGTTTCTCGTGGATCATCTCCACCTTAATTCTGGCCTGTTGGGACGTGGGTGTTCTGCGGGGGTCAGACGGGGGGTAATCGTGGGGTGACCTCAGCTTTTCAGCAACCCCGAAGCTGATCCCTCCTCTCTCTTCATTCATCCCTGTTTTTCTCATGACCTCAATCCCAGATCCCTTTGATATTTAACACTCCCGTCAGCTCCCAGATGGGCGACTGATGCCGCCAGCACACAAGCACGTTGTCCAACCACAAGCAGCATTATTTCCCTTAAATATTTCCTAAATGCTCATTGAAATCAAATGGTTGTTTCAAAGAACGTGAAATAATTTGTTCTGATTTCCAAAAATAAATATTATGATCTGTTGTTACTAGACTTGTAATAATATTTTTGTCCATCACTTCAGCACTAGGTAAATCCTCCAGAGTGTATGGAAAGTCCAACTTTATATGGTCATAGCCTAAATGAAGATGTGTTTTCTGTGCCAGCCCGTTTAAAGCCTCTGTATACTCGCTTTAAGCTGTCGCGCTGTGCTTTGTAAGGAAACAAAAGAACTTCCTGTCCCCCATTTGAGTTTTGCACGACTGCAGGTGAGTGAAACCCAGCAACACTCTAGTTGGGGAAAGCAATTTCTTTTTTTTTTTTTTTATGTTTCCTTTAGAGATGAGTTTTTGAACAGAAAGCAGCCTATTTGTTTTTAGGAGCTTTGAAGTTTGGAAATAAACGTATGCAAAAACATGGCAGGAAGCCTCGTCGCAGACTGTGGAGCTCAGAGATGAGATTTATGGAGGCGTGTCACATTCACTTCCATGATGTTGTTCTTTTTAAAACACAGAAACAGTTTTGTTTACCTGTTTTGTCGCTACATTTCGCTACATTTCTGTGTTTTAAAAAGAACAACAGCATGGAATTAGAACCACGACACAGCAAAAACACACCTAAGATGTGTCACATTCACTGTCGGTGTGTTTTGCCTTTGTTCTACCATCTCGACATGAGCTCAGCCTTCAGAAAGGCTGGAAAATCTTTTTGATTTATTTTTCTATTTATCGTTTTTGTGATCATTTGGAGCCAAAATAGACTCTGGAAGTTTACCTGCACAGGTCATCTGCACAAAGATGAACGCTAACCAATTTAAGGTCTGTGTTCAGATAAATATTGATTTGGTATATTAAAAAACTGCAAAGATAACTTTAACAGCTCTTTTCTCGTGTCACTAACGTTTAGAAGAAAGCATCTTCCAGTAATTTAAACCTTCTGGTGAACTGAAGGAGATCACACTTTAAACATCTGTAATGAATCAGTAAGCAGACAAATCCCCAAACGGATGTGTGAACACATTATCACACTTATCACTTGTATAATTATAAAGTCCACATTGTGCACAAGAGCAACAAGATCCTGAAAAGCAAAGGCAAGACAAAATAAAGATGTGTTTTATAACCAGCTAGAGACGTATTAGGTTTCCTCATAACCGTTATTCAGAGTTTAGCCGATTTGTTTTAGTTTTGCCAACTTTTTAAATGATTAAAGGGACCAATAATGCATTATTTTTAGGTTTTCATTAAAAAAAACCTGATGTGAGAAAATTAAAAAGGACATGAAGTAAAGTGTTAAACATTATTAGCTTTAATTATTGTCTTAAAACCATGTTTTTATATTACTTTAAACAGTTAAAACTCTTAAATTGCCCCAAATGAGAAAAATGATCATTTTCCCCCAGTGTGGACTATAAAGCGGTTGCATAAGAAAAACGTAAAAAGAGCTCCTCAACCGCAACACAAAAAACTGTAGTCGGGGTGGATGTTTGCTTTTTATTGTTTGAAAGGAGATATTTTGTTTGAAGAAAGCAGCTGAACCAATAGTTGTTGCCTGTGCATGAATTCAATATGCTCAACTTTCATCCAAACATTCACTGATTCACAGATTAAAACCCATGAAAAATAAAGTTTTTGAGTCTGAGGTTCACCCATGAGTTCACCACAGACTCCTAACTGCATGAGCCAGGAAACCACTAAATTGTTTTTTCTTCCTCGTTTATTTCATTCAAAATAAAAACAAATAAAACATATAAAAAATAAGAAACACATAAAAATCTAATTTGAACGAAAAAGGAGCAGAATGAAGAAAAACATCTTATAATTTCTGCCCCCTTTTCCAGAAGAAATAATCAATTTATATATAATTACCATTTGTCAGACTCACACAGATTCATTTTAAACTTTTTCCTGTTCTAAATTCCAGTGCGGTCATGATCATTGATTTAATTTACATTTACATAATTATTTAGTACACTCAATTTGGTACATTTTTTGAATATATTAAATGACAGTTTTTTAATTTCCCTTTTAAGGTTATTCCATAATTTAACACCATTTACAGATATATTCCACTCCTTAATTTTAGTTCTAAATCTGGGTTTTGTAAACACATCAGTTTCTTTCAGCGTGTAATTACTAGTTCTCTTTTCAAATATCCCCTGAATGTTTGTTGGCAGAGTACCTAAATTGGCTTTATACATGGTTTGTAAGATTTTCCAGTCTTTTAAATCATGAAATTTCAGTAATTTATATCTAATAAACAATGGATGGATCCCTACAGCCACTATAACTGATTATTCTCAGAGCTCTTTTCTGTAAAATAAATAAGGGTTGTGTACAGGTTTTGTATGTTGCTCCCCAGATTTCAACACAGTAAGTCAAGTATGGAACAATCAGTTAATTGTACAATGCCAACAAACCAGAATTAGTCAGTAAAAACTTGACTCTGTGTAATACTCCTAAGGATTTGGCAATTTTACCTTTTAAGTAACTACTATGGGATTTCCATGACAAGTCTTCATCAATAAGAACTCCAAGAAATTTTGTTTCTTTTACTCTTTGAATTGCAATCCCATCTATTTTATGAGATTTTTGCAGCTGCATCTAAAAAAGAACAATTTGAATGAATGAACAAATTAATGAATGAACGAATGAATGAATGAAGCCACAAGATTAAGTTCAGACTTTTTGAAGCATGTTTCTGCAGAACAGATCATTTCATAATGCTGTTTGAAGTTCGAACGATCTTCACTCGATTAGTTGTGGCTGGATAGTGAGCTAACGCTAACCTATGGAGCTAACATCTGAGTTTCCCAAAAACAACTCCAGGTACTCTAAAGTTTCATGAATAAATAAATTCTGCTTCATAAACATTTACTTTTACCTAAAAAGTGCCTTACATGGTGTTTTGTGTAGAATTATGTAGATATTTGAAGCTGAAATTAGCAAAAGCTAATTCGTTTGCTAGCGAGCTAGCTTTAGTATTTTAGGTTCAGTGTGTAACAATTTCAGTCAAAAATTTTGGAAAACTCCTGCTGAAAAAAGGTGTAAAAGGTTTTAAGATGGTTTCTAAGTGTAAAACATGTGAGACTGACTTTAATGATCTACTTCATAATTAGCCGTTAGCTTATCAGTATGGTGAAAACTAATGCTGATGTGCTGTGATGATAATGTTTTATAATCTATAGAAACTTCAACTGAGCTGAATTATCTTTTGGTCTGAAGTTTTGTCTGCAACTTTTCCTGTTCAAGATTTTTTTGTTGAAGTTTTTCTCATTTACTCCAAATAAAACAGCAAAGAAATTGTGCAGACTTTACTGAAGCAGCTAACTGGTCCACTACCCCTGAAATTTTAATATCTCGTTCCTAAACCTACTCAGTAAATAGCAGATTGTTCTCATGCCAGATAAACAAAGAGCTCAGATTTTGCTGCAGGTACTAGAAAAAAGTCTGCAGCTGTAAATCTGACCAAAGGAAATTTATCTCCTCAGCAATCTTAAGCTCCTCCCGATGCCCTGCAGAGCCGTTTTCTCTTGCCTGCGTGATACTAATTGCATACATACAGACACACACACTGACCCACACAGATATATACACAGAAGCTCCTCCCCGGCTCCAGACGCATGAAACCCGATGCCTTTAAAAGCCAATAAAAGCATAATGGAATCTAGAAACCGGAGCATCTCAGTCCATCGCATCCCAGCATGAGGTAGAGCTGGATGCACCTCCTGAAAATGAAATCGACTTGAGGCAGTTTGGAGCTCAGACAGACCAAGGATAGGAGCTTCACAAGGCCAAGAGAGAGCGAGCGTTTGTGTGTGTGGGACTGGTGATAATCAAAGCCTTGAAAGTGCTGAAAAATACTGAAAAGACGTCTCTGTGTGAGAATGGTACTAAACTGTGTGTGTGTCGCGTATTCCAAGGTTTTACAATGAAGGCCGTTGCTATGGGCAACCTTTCCCTTTCACAGAAATTCCCATCTCCCTGTACTGTGAGAAGCTACCACACACACACACACACACACACACACAAACCACACAAGCAAAAGGTGTTATGCAACATCAAATGAAAACCCTAAAAAAACAACACCCGAGCGGTTTGTGACTCCCCCTCTCCGTCTGTTCCTCCCCCTCTGGCGTCCCGTGTCCCAGCCCTCGCCCCGTTTTCCTTTCATCCTAAACTCCATTTCTTATCTCGAGGGTAGCCCACTAAATTCAGCATGACTCCTAAAAAAACACACGCATATACTTAAATAAACACACTCCGCCCATGAAGGGGCTCCAGAACTAACCCCGGGGGCCCCATTTGCAACACACACACACACTGAGCACTTTTGTAGCTCCAGTCCATCTGAACTGAGCATCATCCATTTTTCTTTCAGGGTCTGAATCTGGAAATGTTGCATTTGCGTGTGTGTGTGTGTGTGTGTGTGTGAAATGACTGCATGGTGGGCAGATGTGCGTCACTGTGTGTAATTAAATAGTGTGTGTAATCACAGGTTTGGTTTGTCATGTGCACTCAGACACAAATGCCCCTCAGACTGATCTGTGTGTGTGTGTGTGTGTGTGTGTGTGTGTGTGTGTGTTTTACATGAATTTGCCCGTTTCTGGAGCCATAAAGATTTCCACATCCAGCCTGCAACCGCATAACGAAGCAACCGCAGCGAGACTCGACGCACAAATAACCCCAGGGCCAACATCAGCCCCGTGTTGCCCAGAATTTTCCCTCCACTGTTTCTTTTTTCTGAGTTTGTCATAAAAATAATGGCTAAACGGTAATATGACAGCCGTGTGCGTCTGGACGTGCGAGCTGGATGTGATCCTGGGCCTTGGCAGAGTGTGATGCGGTGCCACTGGGAGGAACATGGTGCCAGTTGGAGGCAGTTTAAAACGATCTGGGATCTTGAAACTTATAATTATGTATAATTTTGTAAAAGGAGGAACATAAAACTGAGGGCAACAGGATTACAGAATTTGTTGTGTGTGTGTGTGTGTGTGTGTGTGTGTGTGTGTGTGTGTGTGTGTGTGTGTGTGTGTGTGTGTGTGTGTGTGTGTGTGTGTGTGTGTGTGTGTGTGTGTGTGTGTGTGTGTGTGTGTGTGTGTGTGTGTGCTAGAGGAGGAGCCGTGTTCTGAGTGGCCTCAGGTAGAAACTTGATCTGATGCTGACATCAGGCATCGGCACCATGAATCTGATCCTGTTCGTCAGCTCGGTTTACAGCGAGCAAAGCTGCTGACTCTCATGTTTTGGTTTTTATTTAGTTTTGGAGGGAAAACCCCACAAACATCACCTGCATCAGTGACGATCAAGGTCTGTGTTTGTTTTGTCTGCAGGAAACAAAGGATGTGCTGCGACAAATGCTAAGATTCAAAAAGTCAGACAATAATAGAAGGTACAGTAGCTCTACACACACACACACACACACACACACACACACACACACACAGTCCTCATGCAGCTGGCAGATCATGTGACCCAAAAATTATTTTAGGTTGTTTTTCTGGGCGGTCTGGTTTTGTTCAAATCTGCTCCAGGTTGAGATTGACTTCAAATGCATTCCTCAGTAACCTGAGATGCTGCACAATCACACACACACACACACACACACACACACACACACACACACACACACACACACACACACACACACACACACACACACACACACACACACACACACACACACACACACACACACACACACACACACACACACACACACACACACACACACACACACACACACACGCACACAGGCATCACACACACACGCACCCACACCCAGGCATCACACTCTTCTCTGCTTGGGAGACACGATCGTTTTTTGTGCTTTTCTAATACGCATGATTTGTGTTTTTGGAGCACTCAAACTGTGAAGAATAATTTGAATCCTCCCTCATCCTCGTGCCACCATCTGTGACTCCTCTATCATTTACTGCAGCCACAGAGAAAGCAGGCCACACACACACACACACACACACACACACACACACACACACACACACACACACACACACACACACACACACACACACACACACACACACACACACACACACACACACACACACACACACACACACACACACACACACACACACACACACACACACACACACACTTACTTTCCATCAGTGTAATAAGTTAAATGCAGCCAACAAAGCCCATCTTGTGCTTGTATTTGTGTGTTTTTGCTCCGTGTTGAGAAAAAGGGAATTCTTCACCGGACCGGGAGCTTTTCATCCTGGTTTTTGTGTCTGACGACAGAAGATTCAAATCTGAAAATTCAAAGGGTCTCTACTTATCCTGCAACTGAAGGCTCCATTCATGCAGAGCCAGAGGTGCACTGTGCAGCTTCCAGACATCATCCAGACCAGCTCTGGTCCAGCATTCCCAAACTTCTTACAGCCAGTGAGGTCAAATCCTGATGATTACCAACAAACACGACCTCCAGTGCTTTAGATGTTGCAGGAGTGCACGTTGGAGTGACTTTATCTGAGTTTCTGCTAATAGCCTCCTGCCAATGTCTTGCATCGCTTGCATCCCAGCTGCTGGAGAGGCCGTGTGGGTGCTCCTCCCCTCCCCTCCCCTGATGGGTCTGCAGGTAGAGGAGTGTCTCCCACCTCCCACCCCCGTCCCTTTTCCAGCCACTCCAACACTTACAGGAAAGCCTGCAGCCTGTTTACTGCTCATGTCGCTCCACGCCTCGGCCTCTCTTTCCGGAGTGGATCCCCTACCCCGACAGCAGCGACCTCTAATCTCCCTCCATCTCTCCCCTCCTCCCCGCTCTTCCTCTCCCACCAGCTGGGCAGGCGGCCAAGCTGGACGCCGGCATCTCTGCAGTCAGACAAGACGTAAGCGACTGCGTGTGTGCGTGCGTGTGTGTGTGTGTGTGTGTGTGTGTTCGTGGTGTGTGTGTGTGTCACTGGGTGACGGCCTGGTTAGGACACCTGCCACCTTGAGCAGAGATTAGCACAGAAAACCTCATGCACAGTCATGCTGCTCACGCGTTAGGTGACACCTTTAAAGCACAACGTCATGTCCAGAACGTATCTGGTACCGATGATGTCATCTGACACAGCTGATCTGGTTCCAGCCTGCCTGGATGATTTTAAAACCCCAGAATGTATTTTATTCATTCACAAACACGTCACAGGTCCACCGTTAGCGTCTTATGAAATCTGTAATGTCAACTTCGGCAAAGATGGATTTTTCTATTTCGATTTTAATGTCTGCAGGTCCGAAGCGCAGCACCAGAGCCCGGTGGGGAGAAACGACTCGGTCCGTATGCTTCGTCACCATGGCTGCAGGAGGAAAGAGGATGAGGAGGCACCGGAAAAGTTGATTGGAGGCGACGGTGACAGGTGTCGTCTCCTCACAACGGAGCTGAGATCCACTCACAGAAGCAGCAGCTGGTGAAAATTATTCCCCGTTCATGTTTTTATTGTAATTGTTTAACTAAATATCTTCAAAAAAATAAACTATTCCACATAAAGAGGTGGTTTTTGGTAACAGCAGGGAGTCAGGCGCGTTCCCCGCTGAGCTCTGAGGTTTAAAAGATGAGAAGTGGCCGTCTCCGTGGGAACAATCAGCCGGTGTTTAAATTTCTACAAAAACGAGCTGAGAGAAGAAGTCTAAACCAATCGGCCTGGATCTGAAACTGCTCAGAAGAGGCCTGCGGATGAGTGGGAGAAGGCCGAAGCTTTCGCCAAAACGCTTTTCTGATCTTTGCCTACATGTTTGCTCAACTTTTTCACACACAAGCGCTCGATGTGACCGGCAGTGAGTGAGAACCATAAACACGTCGGCGCACAGCAGCCAGCACACTCCGGGGCTATTTTTAGTCCTTTCTGGTGATCAGATCCCTGATATTTCTGCAGTGGCTGATCCAAATCCCAGACATGTGGGCTGGATTTAGCCTTGTGCAAAAAATAAAGATTCTGGTGGCATTACACGAGCTCTAGTTAGTTATTCCAGCTTGATTAGAGCCTCTAAATGCATCTCAGTGTTGCTCTAACATTATCTCTCTCCACCTGGTTATAAAGGACAGAAAGCATCTAAGTGATGAAAGCCCTCGTGGAAAGGCGTGCATTTGCTGAATACGGTTTGTGGTACAGTGGATGGCTCCGGTCAAAGAGCCGCCGGGACAGAACAGGTGCAGAACCAGAACAAATCTGGATCCATTTTCAGTTTTTACCTCACAAATGTGCCTCAAAACCATGGAGACTAAAATCATATCCAGTGCAAAGCTTTCACTGCTTCCTGATAATTAATCCTCATTAAACCTAAATTGATTTCTGAGGTCTTCAGACTACAAAGAAAGCCAAGGCTCATTTATTTTCTGGGAAAATGTAAAATATCCATGTTTTTCCCGCTCCTCCTGCAAAAATCACTGAATAGTGTTCCAGTTATTGCCCCGTTAGATGTTATTCTTTATAATTTATGCAATTTTTGCCTGCTTCAGACTTTGTCTGGGCATAAATGATTCACAGGAAATGAGGCGTGTGAGTAATCCAGAGTTACATCACTTTAGCTTGTAAAAATCAGCACCACCACTTGCTTATATCGATACAATCTCCTTAATAAACAGCTGATAAAAACTGTATTACGTTCCAGCCGAAGGAATCTCCAGAGGCCGAGAGCTTAGCCCTAGCTCTTGTTTATGCTAAACAAAAATATGATAAATATATTAATAAAAATAACATGAGATAACCAACCATTCCCACAAAGCTAGTTACATTTCTGATTATCTTACATGTTTTTTCTAAACATTTCAAATAGTTGTCACTATCTCAGTTAGCTAACAGTAAGCTAACAGCAAACTACAGAGGTACCAATGCAAAAACTCGATTTCTGTTACTTTAAAACAACTAAAATATCAAAACATTTCATGGTTCATGAAAGCTGATAGGGCTGCACGATATTAGGAAAACCTGCGATATTCGATAACAGTGATTAATATTGCGATGTCGATATTACTGGCGATAAATAAAAACTTAACTCGGGAACAAAAATAATCAAAAACAAAAAAATTTAAATATAAAAATGAGAAAAGCTAAAGAAAATGAACAAGAAAAGGCAATCAGTGGATCCCGGGAAAAGCAGAATCAGCAAAAAGAGCAGAACAAAGCTAACTCAGGTGTTTGCCAACCATCAAAATTAAGTGCCGTCCACCTCGGGGGCGGGCATCTAACCTACGAGAACCCACCAAATTGGCCAAATGGGTGAAGAGCTCTATTTGATTTTTTTTTAAAAACATCATGCTTCCGTTTGACTGACATTTGAGCTGACCATTCATCGCGATATGTATCCGTTCTTTGCGGCATGCATATTGTGCATGCTGATATCGCGATAACGATTTCTTCACAATATATTGTGCAGCCCTAAAAGCTGAATTTTTTAAACCTCACCAGTGCTGTTGATGTTTAATTACATGGTGTTTGTGTGGAATTGTGTTAAGTTGCACAAGAAATTAGCCAGCTAACCATAAAGCACCTCCGGTTCAGTGCATTAAACTTAATTCTGCATATTTCGCCTCACACTAGGAGTTAAAACTACTGACCAATGTTAAGTTACTTTCTTTGGTTAACACTTCATTCAAAATGGTGAGAGGAGCTGTGCTAATAAAGACACGCCATTTTTGTAAACTCTTCAGTAAAAAAAAAATGCTAAAGCCTAGTCTAATCCCACTTTATTCATAAGTCTAAGGCCTATCTGGTGTCCAAAGGAATGGTTTTTCCAGATTTAAGGAACTGCTACAGCAAACACTGATGCAGCTGATCAGCTGACCTCCAAGAATGGGATGGAGTTTAGGCTGTAGCAGCTCAGCGAGGTAAACATTGTCATGAGGGACTTTAAAAGCAAACCCTGACCCTTGTATATAGTGCATCACAGTAATCCAGCCAAGTGGTGACAAAGAGATGGATTACTGTTTCAAGCTGGAAAGAGCTCAATTTGATCCGTGTGTCAAACTTAAGCTCAGCTTCCACTTTGACCCTCACTCTTTGCTGTGATTTCCTCATCGTACTGGGCCAAAGAGCCTAGATCTAGATGCTGGGAGTCTGCCACTCTTACATTTTCTTACTAGATTTATTAAAAGCAGAGAGCCAGCTGGTTCTTTATGTCATCAAAGCACTGAAACAACGGAATTGAGCATTTGTCCTAGTCGTACAAGTGGAAAGCAAAGCGGTGTTTTTGTTTTTTTAATGAACCAAGTGGGAGCAAAAAGGGGGCCTAAAACTGTACCCTGTGGAACACCACACAGGAGAAGCCATAAAAACCCTGAACAACCCCACTTCTCCCATTTACTTCTCCAGATGAGGGGATAACATGCCACGGAATACTAAAACTCAGTTTAAAAGTACATAATGGAGAAAATGAATTTCCTCTTCCGTCAATTGACTCTTTTCAAGGACCTTTGACAGGAAAAAATAGGTTTTAATTCAGGAACTATGGCATGTATGACCTTTTTTTTGTAATCAGTGGTTAGAGACCACACCTGAGCAGGGGCGGCGTTAGGCCCGGCTACTTGGGCTCAAGCCCCGAATCTTTAATGAAAAGCCCCAGATCTCAAACGTGGAAGTAACATGCAGTACCAAAGTCCAACAGAGAGGGAGCAGCTGGCAGTAGTTTGTATACAGCCTGCCTGAGCCTCCACCACTGAAGAAGAAGCCCTTCAGCAGCCGGCTTCTTCTACACTCTCTGCCTGAAACGCATGTGTGAAGATGGACATAAGGACGTTTTTTAGACCAAAAGTACCGCGACAGAACCCCAGCTTTGATGAGACTGGTGTTGACTCAGGTTTGTGAGTCTTAATTGAAAATATTTGTTGTGCTGCTGGTTTGCCTAAAGTTAGCTTATCAGGTAAAGTTGTTGGAGAAAGAAAGGGAATATTTACTATCATCTCACACTAAACACTAACAGGAACAATACTCTGCCCTGAATATGCTGAATATGTAGCTTCAGATTAAAAATTATGTGGTACAAGACAAATCGATATGATGTTGACTAGTGCGTGTCACGTGTGTGTGCGCGTGCGTGCGTGTGTGTGCGTGTTAAGCCCCTGATCTTCTTCAGTCCTTAATCCGCCCCTGCACCCGAGGACAAGCTACCAGCCCTTTTATGGAAAGACATCCTTAAAAATTCAAGGAGGGACAGCATCATTGAGAACCTACAGGCTTCCCCTGTAAGACTAACTTAAACATCGAAATAAACTAATTGTGTCAAGTTCAAATGAAAGAATGAATGAATTAATGTCACTCTCTCTACACCACCATCTCAGGATCTGCTGCCATGTTTTGTGCACAATTTATATAAAGAGGAAAAAGAAGCTCCTTCAACGTCTGCTGCATCTGCATGGCAAAAATTCAGATTCAATTCTTTATCATAACAGCTCATGTTTGCTCGGCTGCACGGTAAACAGACACACCGAACTCTCTCCTAGGGATGGGTACCGAATTCGGTACTTTTTAAAGGTACCGACCGAGCACCGATTCACGTCATTTGAAACGGTGCCTCGTTTCGGTACCCGTCCATCATAATGAGAACTTGCCAAGACAGCTGCGCATGCGCAAGAGCGTTATGTCGTTGCTCGCTGTGAGCCAGTTGTAAACAGAGCAGCACGGTAGAAAGAACGCACGCTAAAGCTTGGGTCCACTTCACTAAATGTGATGGGTAACTGGGTGATGATGAAACCAGCGACAACAATCTAAATGAGACATCCTCATCTTAATCTGCTCCGGTAGGTAAATATAATTAGCTTGATATGTTAGCTTCCATTTCGCTAATGCTGCGTTCGCTTTCTCCTCGGAACTCCGAATACCCGACTAGAAGAACATGAACGCACTCCAAAGTTTGGCTTCACTTTACTAAATGCGACAGGTGATTGGGTGAAGACGAAACCAGTGACAACGATCTAAGTGTGAGGCATCATCGTTTTAATCTGCTCCAGCAGCTAAATAAACTGTTCAAGATAAAGTTAGCTTGGTATGTTAGCTTCCATTGCTACCATTGCTATCAGCTAATGGTGCGTTCGCTTTCTCCTCGGAAATTCTAACTTCCCAGTAGGAAAAATCAATTGAAAAAGGACGGTAAAAGGAATGAAGATACACAGTAAATTTAGTTCACAGTAAAGATGTTTGCTTCAGTTTAATTATCAACTTATAAAACTACAAGGACGATGTTAAAATACAAACAGTTGTATGTTATTTATCGTGATATTTATCAAATATTGTTATATATTGAGAAAAATATATATTTAATTATAAAAGAGACTTAAAATAATAAACACTCAAAAGTATCGAAAATTGGTACCGTTAAGTACCGGTATCGGTTCGCAGGTACCGGGAATTAGTACCGGATCGATTCAAATGTCAAAGGTACCCATCCCTACTCTCTCCTCTGTTGTATTTTTCATCAAGTTACTTGTGACAAGTTGTTTGTTCAAAGAAACACCAAAACAAACCAAAATCTCTGAGTAGAGATGATGGAGCTCTGATCCTGAGTATGACTGACCTGACACAGCAGGCAGACACACACACACACACACACACACACACGCACACGCACACGCTAACAGGTCATGTGAGTGATAGTGACACGTCAGCCGGGACGGAGCCTGATGAACGGGACCTGCGAGACGGTTGCTAATCGGGGAGCGGTCTGGCACACAGAGGTAAAGAGATGTCGGACCCAGCTGTTGCACTCATCCGACGGGATTAAAACATGCACACACACGCTAAATTTTGCTCCATTGTGACTTTATAGAGCATGAGAATGTGTGTCACTGTCCTGCAAAATAAAGACACACTGCAGGGTTTTCATCTAAGAGTATGTATCGATGTGTAGATGAGCTGCAGTAAATGCTGCTGGTTAACTGGTGGGTCAATGGCGGCGTTTTTGTGGCAAGGATGTGGATTTTTGTGTGTGTGTGTGTGTGTGTGTGTGTGTGTGT